CTTACAATCATCAAAGGTCTTCCAAACCTTTGACGCAGGAAACGCATCGCCTCAGAGTATCCTTCGTTTGGGGGAATGAACTTACAGACTGTACAGCTCTTGAAGCAACTCAAGTGCAATACCTCAACAAATACATTAACTTCATTTCATCATTTATTGCAAACCCACTCAACATGACTTCAAACTCTCTCACAAACACCGAGGCTAATTTTTACAAAGTTTAAAGTAGTTAGAATGTAGTCTAGTTTTGATGGGTTTTCACCAGGGCCCCACCTAGCATCGTCTCCGAAATTCTCAGTCAGTTCCGTGTTTCGAATAGTTTGCAGTAGATTTCGGCCAAATTTTCCCTTAGCATACCCCGAGTCAGAGTTCAGTGATGGGGCATTGAAATCTCCAGCTATGGTGATTTGGTCATAGCCCAAATCTCGTATCCCCGCGATAGTGCTGAGCAGTAGCTGATTGTGCTCTGCCTCACAGGCAGGAGATCGGTAGATGCCACCCAGTAAATGCTTGGCGTGGCCTGCGGTGAAATGGCACCATATGCAGTCTGGGAGTTTAATAAATGGTGGGTCCGTTGTGCGCACACATTTAAGTTGCCTATCAAAGTATATAGCAACTCTCCCCTTCCTTATTATCCCTGCCTCTCATGATCAGAACCATATCACCTATAATGATTTCGTTGTCGGCAATAGTAGGGGGCAGGCACGTTTCAGTGAGAATGATCATTTTAAGTTGTAGGTGTGCTTGGAGATATCGGAGTTCGCCTACTTTTCCTCTCAGCCCCCTCGCATCAATATATTGGCAGTTGACAGCGAGTCTCACAACCTCAGCGTGTATTGGATTAGTTGACGTTATGCTGCCTTATTATTGGGACTAGTTGGCCGATTCCGATGGAACCGACACGTTGCAGCTTTTCCATGGATTTAGGTAGGACGCTTGGGTTGCACAGACTGTCATTCTCGGTACTGCACCGCTCTAGTGTCACTAAAGCTTGGAGACGTATTAAAGCCTCAGTTTACTGCCTCCTTATGGTTCGGGGTCTGCTTTCGCAGCATCGGATGTGTCCTCCCATTTTCCCCTTGATCTCATACCACCGTTGAAGTCCTATAGCCATCTGCTCCTGGGAGTTGAATGTAACACTTAGCAGCCTTGGAGAGCTAATCAGTGCGAGATGGGTGGGGCGAGGTAGTCGGAAAATGGAGATGTCTCCAGAAGTGCCAAGGGCCATCTGAGATGACAGCCATCTCCATTGCTGTACGTTGTGCATGTGTTTTTCACAAGCAGTGTCCGTTTCCAGCTCCGGAACACCGTTTGCCACCATAGACGTAGCAGGCAACAGCTCCGGTGACTCCATCGCCATTTTTCTGTTAGCCCAAGGTCTGCCTTGTCTCCCACTTGTGCTCGAACTTCTGTCTGTGGCTAGTACCTGAGCCACTAAAAGTACCCTTTTGGCCTCCATGGCAGAGTGCAGCGTAACCCTTAGTGGGATTGGCTTACCCTGAGGCGTGTGGACACCCCTGTACAGCCTGCACAATTTTGCTGAGCTAATGTTCAGACCTAGTTTCTTGCACAGGTTGGACCAGTGTTCCTGATCAAACAGATCCCGTTGTTCGAGCAAGTTATCCTTGCTTACAGGCCTATTAGAAAGTATTAGAGAATTAGACCGACTAACCTCAGACTTAAGTTTGGCCTTTGGCTGCTTGTATTCCTTTGCAGCGTCAGTAACTTTAGGCTTCATCAGGTTTTGGCCAACCTTCGCTGTGTTGCCAAGCTTGCTAGTGGATGCGAGCAGTGCTTTTGCAATTCTATCTTTCCCCGACGTTGTGGGTGCAACCCTGGGACTCTTCACCTTGTGAAGATTGGCATTTCCAGTCAGTTGGACTGGAGTGTCCTTCTTACTGTGGTAGTTAGCAGGTGGGGAGCTGCACGAGAGTGTGTTGGGAAACAAGAGCGGCGTGTTGTTTCTGCTATCCACAGACACGGTGTGTGGGACCGTGCCAGGGCGACAAAGTGAACAGATATACCAAAACCATGGGCATGGGTTATTTCGCATTAAGTCATAGCATGATTTCGGTACCCCTCTGTCACAACAGCAGCGTACCCATCGTTTGCAAAAATTACATTCAAAAGCTGAGTTAATTTTAGAAACGATGACTTTCTGAATGACCAACTTCACAGTAATCACGGTACAGACCAACAAGTCTTATTTATCTGAATAAGTGGGGAAGATGCTGCTAAAGAAGTGGCACCTGAAGCTTTGGCATTAGTTCAAGACAGCTGGGCTTACCACACAGAGATTAAATATGTAAGTAATGGTTGACTAGGGAGATCAGGTTCCCCAGGCGGATAATTCACAAAATAGGTATTTTTCCGCTAGAGAGGAAAAAGCTCTGAACCTAATGAATAAACGTGGTGGAAATATGAAATTCTCATTGCACGGCTGGATGGGTTGGTTCTTCTATGAGCAGGCTAAAATCCAGTAAGTACAAGTCAGACTCGCCCTTCTTCCCCCCTATAATCAAGTATCGTCCAGATTATGCGTCAAATGAAGAAACAAAATATGAGAAAATAACATCAAATCAGGGATGCAGCCAACAAAACTAGGTCGACGCAACCTGAGGCGAGTTCCACCTATGTAGTAGCAGTAGTAGCATAGTGTATTATGTTCAGCCTATTGTTTTAAATGTATTAAGCATTGATATTACTAAGAGTGATAGGTTGAGTGTCCCTAATACACAGAAAAGCTTTATATTTACGATCTTTATACAAACGTGAGTTTAGCCTGCTACGCAAATTGCCAGTTGTTTCGCTTCACGCGCTTCCTCACACTAGTACGGTGCTCGTCTCAGAAACTGGTAATCTATGCACTGGACTATAAATTCAGTGCTGATTTCTTATTTTTAGCTTTATAAGCACATGTTAAATGCAGCCCAACTCCTAAATATTTCCCTCACTTTAATCAACCATACTTTAAATATGTATGTGTAAATATGTTTCATTTACACACAGTAGACCGCCAGATTCCGACTTACGAAGTAGTGTAGTTACGAAATATGTGTCCATTATAACTTTATTCACCACCAATGTTGCGAAATGGCCCTGGTGAAGCAACCTCTTTGGATAAAACACAACAGTTTTTCGTAAGCATATAACCTCTCACCGATTAGGCATAATACTAGTGGAGAAATGAAAAACCCACTTATTTACCTGCTCGTTTAATAAACCGTTTTAGTAGGGGAAAGGCGTAAAAATGACCCTCAACCTTGTGATTGAACCACTGACAATGACAACAACTGTCCTGATTATCCACCTACTCTAAGCGTATTACTAAAGCAACAGTGTCTAGCGACGGCGGATGTCTTAGAAACTACTTCTACAATAAACATGGATTATAATAGTGACACTATACTCATTTGAATAAAAATAAAGAGTAATTAGAATAACTAACTTCCCTCTTATACCCCATACGTCTTCGTGGATTAAGTATTCTTTCTAAGTTTGCATTTACTCCCTTATGCATATCAAGACTTTTCACTGGTGAATGGCATAATTTCACATAATCCTCCGACTTTATTAAGTCTCAGTTTAGTACGAAAACTTTAGCAGGAGCTGCGTTTTGCGTTTTGCAACCATAATATTTCGTGACCGAGGCCAAAGCAACATGCTTGAAACTGCTTTAACCGTATTGTTTCGCATTTTTGCATTCTATAAACTAACGATATGCGACCGTTACACAGCCGCCTTCAGATCAAGCGTTAAACTGATAGTGTCCATGTTCCATGATTTCAACATAGATGCTTGTTTTTATACATAATTACGAAGCCTGGGAAAGCATTAAAGTTTGATTTCGCCCCACCACCTCATCCTTAATACAACGCTCCTACAATTGGTTTTTAGGCCACAGATTATCACTGCAAGTTGCAGAATGTCATTATTACATTTCTTATTTATGCTAGGGGGAGTCAAAATAGTGATTCGTTTGCTGAAGTCGTAGACCCAAGGGTACTCGATAGAAAACTCAAGGCATAGCTCCGACGGATAGGCCAGTTGAACCGACGTTCCCGGAGAAGTCGCTGATGTAGGACTCCTATAACACACCAGTCTATGGCCACTCTGACGTAGTAAGCAATAGAGAAATTCATACGGAAAGGACGGGTAACCAAGTTGGAACTATATCTTTATGATTCGTGAAGCTTTCTTTGTCTATTGATTTATAAACGCCCTTCCGTTTATTTGAGCAGATTCTCTCCGCTTCAATTTCCCTCAGCCGTGTTTTCCAAAAGAGAAGGTCGGAAGTTCCGCTAGCGTTCCACGGCATTAAGATTATCTGAGCAATTATTTTGGCAAATAATTCGGTCTTTAGAGTACTTTGAGTTGCATCATTAAACAACCCCCTTTTTCTACCTATGTTTGTGAAAATTAATGGCACATTGATCGCTACCCATCTTGTCAATGAATACAGATATGAGAAGGGTTCACTGAGTATGGGTTATCGCCAGGTGATATTCATTAGTCGCTTCATAACAAGGCAACCCAAAACAACACAGCCAAAATCTGCGAACAGTTAACCGCCTAATTATTTCAGAGATCCAAAGGTGTTTTCTTTGGAAGAGGCGTTCCACAACATGCATTTCCTCATTATAGATATATTACTGCTATTCATCAGGAATACAAATTACAGATTGTTCCATAATTCGATATGTCAAAAGCATTCGGTACACCAAATTAAAATAGAGACTTAAAATTGTCACCTTCAGGGAAAATTTAATTGAAAGCATACTTGAAATCAAATTATGCATGAAGCGTTTACTTTATACACTCAGGGCTATTTGGTATGAGTTGGGATTTTACAAAACAAGTGTGTTCAGTATAAAAGCATGTTTATATCTAAAATACTATGTACAGTATATGTTTTGAAGAGACTAAATTACATTTTTGCAACTTTTCAGCTTCCCGTCTTATACGTGCTGCAAATACTTTAGAGACTAAATTCCAGGCTTCTACATAGCGATCCATGCACAGACCTATACATTTCTATCCACTTAGTAATGTGAGAAAGTTTAACGTTACCTGTTCTGAGTTATCTAAACTTGTTCCTGGTTTAGAAACACACTTTTCAAAACATTTATCCGACATTTTCTAGGTTTCATTTGAACATTATGCTTAATCACTTACTTCCAATAACTCTCTGGCACTCGCCAAAGCAACTTCAGCTCTCATTTGTTCCATTAGCTGTCCTTTTTGTGCAGGTGTCAAGGAATTCAAATTAATATTCTGGTCCATTATGATTAATTATAGGTGTACTAATATAGGGGTAACGCAGTAAGTAAAAGTGCGCGGGCCAACGTCTTACTGCGCTCACCGAAATTCCAGTGAGCCACAGTAAACAAATATTCAGACAAATAGAAATAGATCTCTTGTAGTAAAAGCAAAGACCATAAGAGGAAGCTGTTCTCGTTGGCTACGTGCTTTTAACAAAGAATTAAGCGAAAGTAGTAAGTTATTCTTTCTTGAGGGCGCCCCAAATATAAGGTTTATTTGCCGGGGGGTTCTAAGCGTCATTCAAAATACATGGTTTTCCCACAAGAGTCTGTCGTACTTGTAGAGTCTTTTTCACCTTCTGACTAGTGAAATCCTTTTTCTACACCGAGAAAATGTTTAAGGAGTGAGGAACTAGCGACTCCAGTTATCATATTCTTTGGCTGATACTGAGATAATTATTGCTAACTTTGCACTAAAAAACCCACACAGAGTAATTTTCCCATCCATTTCTGTTCTAAACAGGGTCAAATTGTAACTTTTGACTTCAGAATAAAACAAGGCAATCGGGGACTCCATGTTTTCATATTCAGGCCGTTTATGTGAGTGCGGTTACTGATGCGACTGCAAACAATTCCTATGTGGTGGTTAATGAGACAAGTGATATAGCAAGGTAGATTTTAACTGTTTGATCAGCATCATCGAACATAACAGAACACATTTCTATAACATTTTTGCCTGTGTCAGATACCCCAGGGCCGTCTCTCAGTCGTATTCACCCGCTGTTGTATTAAGTATTACCGAGATGTTCTTCTGGATTGCGTTGGCTGAAGACTCGTTGGAATGACAGTATATATTTGCAAAGTTTAGTGATAGCCATATTGGTCTTAGCATGGAAACTAGGATGTTTTCGATGAAAATAAAGCTTCGTTCAAACACTAATTTTGTTGTGTTTTTAATCAAAGCAGCCAGACTTTAAGGAAGCAACAAATACGAACAAGGATTAAGTTTTAGTCTTATTAAAGGCCAAGGTAGTTAAGATAAAATAGAGTATAATAATAATAATTTTGCTTTTATTCCAGAAACAGTACTAAAGGTACAGTGTGGAATTTTCAGCACATATCTACAATATTGCATCTGATTTCATCGCACATTTAAAAGGAGTATTACAAAAAATTATAAAAAATCAACAACAAAAACCAAAAGGAAACACAAAAATTTTTTTTAGTGCAAATAAAAATACCAAGTAGAAAGGAAGATAAACACCAATAATGAAAAATATTTCAATATTTGGTAATGGAAGCTGTGATATGTGTGTGCGTGGTGGGCATTAAAGCTATAATCATACAGGAAGTTATGAGATGTTCTTAAGAATGTTTATAGCCAAGATGATCAGTTAATTTGATTGAACTACAATAAACAATCATAAAATAAACATTTCAGGGTTTTTTATTGTCATCACTAATTCAGTGTTTGTTGCGGTGGTGTGAGTAATCATGCATAATACAAAAATTTTAGGATGGTGATAATGGCGTTCACAACCAAGATTGTCAGTTTTAATATTGCCGAACAAAATTTAACAATCACAAAAACCAATATTACATGATGGTTAATGATACGACAATTTTGCAATGCGCATAGTGCTAATATAGTCTGGACCAGAAGATACACAAAAGAAGAAATAGAATAAAGAACAGGTATGATTAAGACGGTTGTTCACTATAGAGTACAAATAAGAGAGTATAAGGGATAGACAAAAGGGCCAAAATTATGTTGTTAATAACAAAGCAAGTCATAGGTTTCGCGCTTAACATCGTCTCTGTCACTTAGAATACGGGCCAAATATGGTATCGTTGAGTTCCTATACTTAGTTGTACGAGCATATCTTATTTTGTACTGATTTCTGGTTCTACTCGATGAGATGCAGGGAGAGGGTTGGGAATAGAGGGAGTGTGGGGGTCGGAGAGTATGGTTTTAGACCATTTTTCGCATGTATTGAGATGCTTATCTACTAATGTAGTGACGAGCTGACTGAGTTTTACACCACTAGTCCTACTAACTACCTTCAACATCCTTCTCAGGATGGCATAGTCCTTTTTCAGTAGGCCAGGAAAGACTAATGGGGAGCAGCAAAGTGGAATAAGTAAGAGAGTTGACAAATTGTGAAAGCGGAGGCTGGGTGATTCCAGTTACTCTGGGTTTCTTAATGTAGTAGGTTAGACGAAACACTTTCTTAGAATTCGTTTGGATATGAGATGACCAAGTTAGGTCGGAAGATAGAACTAATCCGAGGTATTTTGCATGAGACATGGTGTCAATTTTAGCCCCGTCAATGCTACAGGCTTCGTGAGTGCTTACTAGTGTTTGTAGATCTCGTTTATGGCTAAAGGAGAAGTCAATAGTCCGGCATTTTGAGGGATTCAGCATGAGGCTGTTTAGTTTAAACCACTGACTGATGTCCGACAGGAAGCTACTTAATTTGAAACAGTCTGACTGAGACTTAACGGGAAGCGAAACGGTCAGGCCATCTGCATATTTGACGAAGTTGATTTCGTCTGAAAGAAGTGAGTCATGTAAGAAGAAGGAAAGGAAAAACGGAGAGAGAACAGCACCCTGAGGAACTCCAGCTTCAATAAGGAGAGGAAGATACACCGTGTACTGCATCCTATTTGAGAAGTAAGAGTGCAGCCAGTTAATAGTCCAGGACTCAGTTTGTGTAAGGCTAAGCTTTTTAACAAAATGCCTCTAGGTACAGAGTCGAAAGCAGATGTGTAATCAAAGGACGTACAACGCACACACTTGGCCCCTTTGTCTAAGGAGGATACAATGTTGTGGTGAAACACAGCAGCGTCTGAAGTACTTCTACCCTGTTTGTAAGCAAAGTGCTTTGGATCATTTGAGAAGCTTAGGAGGGAACAAGTTTTTGTAACAATAATTCCTCCATTAGTTTCAAAATAGGAGAGGTGATAGCAATAGGTCTAAGCTTAACACTATTTCCAGAACCTGACTTGACTACAGGGATGACTTTAATATCTTTCTACAGAGAAGGTACAACATTATTAGAAAAAGAAGTATTAAAGATGTTTGTTAGTGGATTACTTAAAATATCTGCACATTTCCTTAGAGCAATGGCAGGTATACCATCAGGGCCTAGACTCTGGGAAGGTTTAAGAGATTTTAAACATTTAGGAACATCAGAAGTATTAAAATTATGAAAGTCACTGGTCGTGTTACTAGTTAAATTGAAGGCAAAAGGGACATTTGGAGGGCAGATAAAAGATCTATTGACAGTATTTACATCAATCGAAGAGGCACTATTACTATGCTTACCACAACCTGTAATTTCTCTAAAAAGCTCCCATATGTTTTCTGAAGTTTTACAAGACAGTACCGTTTGATTATAAATATTGTTTAGTCTCTTGATTTCAGGTTTAATTTGGATGTTTATCTTCCTTAGACCTGATTCATTCTTTGTCTTGTACAGCTTCTCTTTTTCTCCTAGAAGCTTTTTTAGATGAGGGGAAGGAAAACGATCCATTCTTTTGAAAATTATCTGTTTTGGACAGCATATGTCAGGGCAGAATTTAAGACAATCAGTCAAGTTGGAAATGGTATCATCCAGTGTGTGTTCGTTGAAAAGTTCCCAGTTTGCGTCACTTAGCATATATCTTAGTTTTAACACATTTTCCTGTGAGTAACACCTTTGCTGTGTTTCCCTGGACAGATTTGAGAAGATATTAAAGTGAGATCTGCTGTGTATCTTAGGTAATATCCGAATAATACAATGATCCGAGTTCATTATAGGAGTACGTCTGCGTGCTTCATATATTTCCTCATCATTAATAAACACTAGATCCAGAGTTTTATCAAGTCGAGTAGGAAATTTAACAATATTGACATGACCTAATGATACAAAGAAAGAACAATCACAACAATTGAAATCTCCAGTGACAACTGATAAAGAGTTTTCAAGATGTGTAACGGCGAATTCAGTGAATTCATCAGCAAAATCAGATAGATCCGAGACGGAACAGCCAGGAGTAACATAAATATTTGAGATGAAGACGTATTTAAACTTGGATAAGTGTTTCTGACGGCATTTAAAGTTGACCATTGAGAATGAATAAAAGTTACAGCACCTGCACCTCTCTTCTTTCTGGAGCGTAGTCGGTCTTGTCTAAACAATGCAAAACCATTCAGGGAAACCAGACTGTCATCGTAGAGTTCATGGAGCCATGTTTCTTGTAATGCAACAATCGCCGTATTGTGATAAGTATCAGATGATAAGGGAGACTGGAGATGCATAATTTTGTTGGGAGGTGAACGCCAGTTTGAACTGACGATAACAGGAATAGTTGTGCGATATAAAGGTGTCTGTTTAAGAGCACGTTGTCAACCACCGTGATGTTTTCTCTCAGTTTTATTAGGACTTATAGGACTTAAAAGTGACCTATAAATGCAAGAACACAGATCTCGGAATAACAGTAAACGCCATACAGCAAGAATTAGAAAAAATGGACAGATGGTGTGACACCTGGCAACTCCAGTTTAATGTCGACAAATGTGGCTGGCTCTGCATAGGTTGCAACAATTTAGAACTTGACCTGACAATTCAAGGCCATGCACTCTTACGACCGGAATCTGTATTGGACCTAGGACTGAAATACTCACATGACTTATTTTCTGAACATATCTCCAAACAAGTGTCAAAGTCACGCAGACTTATCGGCTTTCTACTCAAGAACTTTTACAGAAATGAGTCCAGAATTCTGTTGTACAAGGTTTGTGTGCGTCCTTTATTTGATTACTGTTCATTCATGTATAGTAGTATACGCATAGAGGACAAATTGAAAGTCGAGGGAGTGCAGAGGTACTTCACGTCAAAATTACTTGGAACCGAAAGTGGTGCGAACTACTCCACTAGATGTGACACCCTAGGATTAGAAACACTATGGCTAAGACGCCTGAGACTAAACTTAACACTTTACTATAAGCCACTTAGTTTTTACCTCTACTAATGGCAT